TTTTTTGAGACAGCAAGTTTGATTATTGATAGAACAAATGTCTGTCAGTCTGCCCAGGAATTTCATTTCAAACTATGTTCCCTGATAATGTAATGTAAACTTTCCTAAATATTAACAAATGTAAGAACTACTATGAGATATCACTCTCGTTTTTTATTATTAGAGGTCAGAAATTTTGTCATGTACAGTTAGATTACTATGTAAAAAGGCGTGGGCACGCAGAGAGTTTGCTAAATTCAGCGAACTCCCTGCGTAAGCCTTCGTATACTTATCTAATCGTTATTATTGTAAAGTATCAAATGGGTAAAGTAAGTATCAAAATGGCAACTTAAAACGGTTTCTATGTGTATACATACTGCTTGTCTTTGCATTTCAGCCAGAACCAACTTTGCTTTGTAAACTCTCAGAAGAGGTCACCCTTTTCTGTAGTGTAGGCCTAAATCACATTCAGTACTTTATCATTAGGAACATGTGAAAGGTAAGCAAATTGGTATCCCTCTGGTATCACAATCACATATTTATCTTAATTAATTGACCAATTTCAAAGTGTTTCGTACGTTCGTATGAGAAGAAAGATGAGTCACTGGTGAACTCCAAAGCCAGAGTGCAATGTTCATCAGTAGTACTATGGGGGTGAGGGAAGGGATAATTTTGGACGCGTATTTAGCCATGGGTGCCAATATGCACCAACAGACCATGCCAGACTGAATGTGTCGAAACATTTAACATGTAATTTCAATGGCATACATGCAAGTACATGCAACCTAAAACCGCATTTGTGAATGACTGTGTGCGGGCAGCGCAGGCGAATTAGCCCGGCCCTGAGCGCCGATCGTACACTGGCTCCTCGTCACTCCCAAATGCCGGTGGATGCCGGTTGATAGGCTGCCAAATGCCCGTTACACACCAATTTCGTAATAATAACTTACCTTTAAACTTGATGAACAGGACACAGGCAAAGAAAGAAACACTCGGTAAACGCGTAGTTTTGAACTTAAGTTACCAGCTCATACGAACAAAAAGTATGATAACGATTCAAGCTCCAGAATGTCGGCTAAATCGTTTGTCAAGGAGTGATCCGTCTTCAGGAAAAATACAGTTTCAGGAAGTCGCCATCTTATTAACGCATGCGTATTGTATTTGGATTCAATAAAGTTCGTTGACCATGCATGCATACTCGACATTTCACAATAATACTTTGTTTACAATTAACATTTTCACACGACGGCGCTGATCGAAAATCGAAAATCGAAAATGCAAATGGGTGGGGAACTAGCAACCTAAGTAGGCCTACCCCCCCCCCCCCCAAAAAAAAAAAAAACTGATGTTCGGGGCATACGCAGGATATAAGCGCGACGATGAGCCCCTCCACCCCCCCCCCCCCCCCCGCCCTCCCCCAAAATGCAGGATACCTTATCAAAGTACAACTTGAAAGGACGCGAATTAAGGGAGTAAACAAAATTGAGGTGTTTTAATGATGTTTGGAGGAGAAATCCATATCTTCTAATAGTCAGTTTTTTCAGGCGGAGTTGGAATGACCAATGCTTTTCTATTACTGTGCTATTCTATTACGTTATAAGCTTATGTCGTAGTCGAGTGGTTTAACTAAGCTTGAATAAATTAATTAATTAATTAATTAATAGTACAGACCGCCAACGGCGGTCTGTACTATACTGGAAGAAGAAGAAGAAATACAAAGGTCGTGAGTTCGATCCCCGGCACGGGACTAATGTCCGATCCTTTGGCAATTGATTAATCTACATTTGCCACTCCAAATATTCAGGGGAATTGGTAGTGCTTTGACAAAAGCCTTTGTGTTTATAGTAATTACCAAATACCCTCACGGTGACCATAATAAATTATGGTAGGAATACCCCCCGCCCCCCCCCCCCCCCCAGGGAATGGAGATGGTGCACATTGTGCGTGAATGAATCCGATGGCGATGAAAGCGCTTAGAGTTAGAGACGGTATTTCTCATCAAGTGCTATATAAATCCAGATCTTATTATCATATTATTATTATCAATTTATTAGCCTAGTGTATTCGTGAGAATAAACATAATATTTAGTTCTTCGAGTTCATAAACTGGAGAAAAAGGGAGCCTATCGTTGGGAACCAGAAGGGAGAATGCATCTTTGGCTCTCAGTTATAGATGGAATATGACTCAAATAATCTCCAACTGCATGGGTTTTAACTCACTGTCTCTAAATTTTGGTTGGAATGATAATGTAATGGATTGGTCGGAGCAACTTACTTGCTCCAAGGGGAAAATGATATTCAGTGAATTTCCCTATATAAGAAACTTACGATGGGATATCAGCACACTGGAAGTTTTGTTTCCTTTTTTTGTCCTTTCAACTCTCGGGTTTTATTATCTGTCTCCCTAAGCAGATCCATAATGAGGGTTGAAGAATTTTCATGCAATATCTTTTCAACGAATTTTTTTACCATGCATCACGATGGTTGTAAGGGGGGCTCGGGGCTAAAGTCCCCAAAGCCCCCAATAAATCAATTTATCAATCAAGATGGCTAATCTAGAACCGCGGCTGGCAGTTTGTATTAACTAAATCAAATTTGACAACATGTTTATTTCATAATAAAGGACAGAAAAGGATGACCGGGGGAGGGGGGGGGGGCTTGTGGGCTGAAGACTTTAAAAAGAAAAAAGTTATAGATTTGTGAAAGTTACAATTATGCTGGGCTCTTCATAATTGGCTAATTCGGTATTGTCTCCGTGATGTATAGTGGCGGACAACTTTCCTATTTGTTCCAATACACAAAATTACTTTTAACAAATAATAAATGTATCACTCTTTAGAGTCGGACGTATAATGATATAATATCCATGACATCTCGATCCTTTTCATTCCAATCCCCAACATCATGTTTGTATTATATTGGATCATTACGTCTTCAAGCACGCTTATTATGTGGCAATCCTTCTTTATGATTATTTTATTTTAGTATTTATATTACAATGTGAGTATTTTACGTTGATGATGTATTGTTTAATTTGTTTATTATCATGATTATGTTGTAATTAGTTTGTAACTTTGGAAACGATCATGAAGACAAATAATTAAACAAAATGAAATAAAATCATATTCTAAACTTCTAACTAGGTTGATTTTAAGTCGTTGCGATCGTGTTTTATTATTTCTTACATTGAAAGTTACACAGAACGGAAGAGTTTAAGGAAATTCATCGATTATTTTTTCCCCCCATTAAAAAAAAACTCTGGTTAACAGCATTTCTTATGGGATGGGGTTGTGTCATTCACACTAAGAAATAGGGGTATTTGGGGTGCAGATCGCTGCTACAATAGCAGCCACCTATAGGGTGCAAGTCTGCGATACATGGCTGCTATTGTAGCAGCGTTCTGCACCAAAAGGGTGCTCGTTTGCACCCCTAAGGGTGCTCTTTTGCGGCCTCTATAAGGGTGCAAGTCTGCAAAATTGCATATAGGTGGCTGCTATTGTCGCAGCGATCTGCACCCTATAGGGTGCAAATTTGTACCATTATTTGTTAGTGTGTTGTGTGTCCGGACAATTTGTTTTTCTTTAATAGAATCATCTTTATTCAATATTGCTCTCGACATTGCAAAAACATAAAAATATATATATACAATACTTAGATAATATAAACAATTGAAATACAAAATATATATAACTGATTATACAGGACATGATGTGGTACAAAAACAAAATAAATTGTTTTTCCACTTATTATCAAATGATACAAATTTTTTTGTTTTGTTTACATGAATGTAATGTTCAAGAGAACGATAATACCTTGATATGCATTTAAAAGGATCAACTGTTTTTGCACTTAAAGTAATGCTGTCACGTTTGCCGATTGATTTATGAAAAATAAGCATAAAACGTACAGCTTTAACCACCATCATCCATATTTTCTCTTTATAGCCGACTACTGTCCAACATAAATCTTTAAAGATTTATGAAACATTGCTCATAAAATGTATTCAAATTAGTGTTTGAAATCAACTATTCGAACACAAGACGTGTTGGTATTTATGTATATTGGGCAACATTATTTTATAGAGCGCATTGACTTCTAGAAAATAAACGTATTTGGTATATAGCGTACCGAAAAAATAACTTTCACTCGATAAAAATTGTTGCAAAGCCCTGTACAAAAACGTATTATAGTTTGATGATATTAATAAAGGTTGATGGAAAAGATTGAATCATCAAAAGGGGGCAGGAGTAGTGAACAGAAATAGCGTGGAAAAGAATATCTTCTTCCTTTCTTCCTTTCTTTCTTTCTTACTTCCTTCCTTTTAATTTGTTCTTTAAGTTCCCTTTCTATTTCCCCGGTATAATTATTTCCTCCTTTTGAGGGTGCATGTATAGTAGAGCTTTGAGTGTCTGCAACCCCAAGCCTCCACCCCCACCTCACTAGCACGCCTGTGCTACAAGTTTATACAGATTAATTTGCAAGGTAGAAAATATATCAAGAAACCATTGATATGTTATCATTGTGACAATATGATTTAATCATTAGATTATAATAGATTATGGATATGAATCATACTAGACCATATTGAATGTTGGCAGTACAAGTTTCTCTCGGGGGGGGGGGGGGGTGGAGGATGGAGCTGCAGCTCCCTAACCCTCATCCCCACCTTGTATGCCTATGCCAAATAAGCACATGGTACTTAATCATATTGACACTGTGATTCAATTCAATTCAATTCAATTCATTTATTTTTCCTCTTTTAATCGTTCATAAATTACAATGATGGTATAGATTTTAACATATTCACATATTTATATACATCAATTTGCACAATACAATACTTTAAAACAAATAAACATGAAAATGAAAGAGAAGGAGGGCCGACTAAAAAGCAGAGCTTGTAGGGTGATTAGATTGATACAATCGCCAAATGTTCTTTTATGTACTGACACCCGGAATGTACCTTTTCAAAAGTTTTCATACTTTTTTTACTCCAAAAAGAGCTACTATCTCCAACTACTTTGTCGCATGAGGGAGGCAAACAACTTAAATCGATGAACTATGACCCAAACCGGAAGTTCGGTCTCTTTTGCTCGGCATCCAACATGGTAATATTACGTGTGAAAAACTGTTCTGAAAATGGCAAATATAACATTAAAAAAGAGAATTTGGCCTTTGGTGCTCTCACAAAATTGATATCTAGACACTTGATAACCCTGTCAAATATAAAAAGTCATGACAGAGTGTCGTATTAAGACGGAAATTTTGTAGAGAAATTCCGATCAATGTTCACTGTCCCTCGCCCTCCTGTAAAAACGTGCATGAATTCTGAATGGCGCGGTGATGGCATGTGTGCATGTCAATTGGTGGCTGGACGTGGTGCGTGATGAAGGCCGATGTGTTATGGCAATTCGATGCGCCGGTCCGAATGATGCGCTGTCGTTTGCACTTCTTGATGTCATGAGCATGAACCCTTTAAATGTTTGACAAGCATAACCATTTGGTATATAGAATTCTATAACTAAATTTGTTGGCTTTTGCAATAAAGAATGTCCAACTCGAAATAACTCGAAATTGCTTGAAAGTTGAATTCGGGGATGTGGATTTGTTCAGCAGTGGCTAACTCCGGGAAGCTCCAACACCGGCGCGCAGGTGTTGGAGCTTCCCGGAGTTAAGCAGTGGCAAACCCCCGCCAAACTAGAAACCCTAGCGGATTATTTGTGTTCAGATTAACCTTAATGGCTAGGTAATAATAATGAAAATGGTATTTATATAAAATTGTAACCTAGGGGCGCTGTTCCGAGAATAAGGATCATCTGCATAAACAAGGATATCTTCGTAAACGGACAACTCACGTCCTAAAAAGTGACGATCGTGGACACATTTTTTCTTTGGCGCTCTGCGGGTATAGGGTTACCGATCCGCGCACTGGCAATGTGAAAAACAGATTCCATGTAGGCCTACTAACAGTTCGCAGTCTACTTTTATGAGTTGTCCGTCTTCCCTAGGATTTATCGTTCTTAATCTTATCGTGAAATCTCTGCATAATTGAGACATGCATCTTGGACCATCATCGCGGAGTCTGTTTTTCGTATCGATAATACAGATTGTCTGAAAAATGTAGATTTTTTTTTAAGGACGCAATTTGTCTGCTTTGACGAGAATGTTGTTGTCCCTGCAAACAATCCTTCTTCTCGGACCAGCGCCTAGTCTACCAGCGCCCCTACTGTTAATTGGCACCAAACCGTTGACCCCTAATCATTTTTTTTTTCTAAATCAAACTGTTATTTGTGAATTTTTTAAAATCTAGAATTATTAGATAAAAGGAATATTAAAAAGCAGACTTTTCGCTGGATTGCACCGAAAATTGGCTTGTTAATCCACCCCCCCCCCCCCCTTGTGGATGTGGCAAGGAAAACCTCAGTTTCATTAGATGAGTGTTGACCCTTTCAATAATCCATTTTGCACAGATCATTTGAGAGAAAAAAATACACAGAAGTAGTGAACCTTTTTAGGAATTAAGCTCTGAAAAAATACTGGACAAAAATAGAAATTATTAAAATGTCAACAAGGAAATAGTAAGATATAGGGTCCACTTGACTAAAGCAAATTCAAATAAGGGATCTTGCGGTAGTTTTACAATGGCACACTTGGCAAATTTGTTTTGATGAAAGATTGTCCATAAGAAACTCTGTACAGTTAAGAACAGGTTTGTCTCTCAACAAAATCTGAAGTCTGATATATTTCAAATGAAAGTGGGGTGACTTTGAAACTGCTTATCATGGGCAAGTTTCTTATTATTCTGATCCTCCAAAAATGACACAGATAGTCATGATAGTAGAAGACAAAACATAATACAAAATGGGAAACGGACAGTGACTGTCTCTTCCCAGATTTTCTCAAAATTATGTCTCTCTATTTTCAAAAATGTTATGTATTTGTAAAAATACCTGTCATCACTTAGATCTAGTGCATGATTTAATTGTTAATTGCTCACCAGACTCTTTAATCAATATTCAGCTCTTAAGAGTCTGTTCAAGATAAAGACCAGTTATGGTCATGCGATTGCATTGTAAAAGAAACGTGGAAACGATCAGAAAAGGTTGATCATCTACAAGCCTTTTATTAACCGGGCGCCGGGCGATTTTTACCCTACGGTCCCTGACTTTTGGCGCCCGGTAAGACGGGGAAAATGAGTACCGGGCGCCGGTCATTTTTTATTTCTGGCGCCCGGTCTGGGAGAATTAACATTTTCTGTTTCATAAACTTCCACATGTCTAGCACTAAATGTTCACAAATGTGACAAAAACTTACTTGATACAAGTTAAACGTGGACTGAATGAACCCTAACAAATCATTATAATGAGAATCCTAATTAAAATCGCCAAGAAACAATTGCAGCACGAATACGAGCGGCTGCTATTTCCTACTCCTAGCGGAGAACGGAGCACACAATACAGGGGATGTACACCACTCAAAGACGAGCGCATTTCCCCAGCCCAGGCCATGCATACACACACAAATGACATCAGTGCTGTACTGCAGTACACACACAGTGTCAGTACAAGAAAGTCTCGATGTAACTTCCAAAAATCCATCCGAAAAGCCAAATTTTGCTGTCAAAGATGCGGAATCGGAGCCATATTTCCAAAGCTCACGGGGGTTAAGCTCAGTTTTAAGAAACAGTTTCATCAAAATAGCGCTAAAAATCAAGAAATCAGCGATTTTGTTACCAGTTTTTTTGCCTATCGCATGCCCTTCGAATGTAATGGTATCTTCAAAAAAGCAAATGAAAATCAAAACACCGGATCTGCTGATGCATTGACTTTATGTACAAAGTTGATTGCAACTCCAGACTTGCCTTGATTCAGCGGCCCTCGTACTCATTGACTAAAATTCTGTGATGTTTTGAATAATGGACTTTTCTGATAAAATAGATAAATATATTTAACAAATCTTTTTTTTTAAATTTTCTAATTATTATTATATTATTATTATTATTATTATTATTATTTTTTTTTTTTTAAGTGACAGGTCGGTCGTTCTCAATGATTAAATGCGTTTTTATTCAAAGAAACATGAATGCAATAGCATTTTATAGGGAAAATAACAAAAATGTAAAACAGGCATAATTTTTTTTTTTCACCTAAAATATGTTTTTTCAAGCTGAATAATATGTTTTTTTGAAAGCGACAGGTTGGAAGCTCTGCATTGTCATTATAGATCTGGTTTTTCTTAAATATTTTTTTATAGAAATAATTTAATTCCCCCCTTCCCAACATTTTTAAATTTTTGACATTTAACGGCATGAAAATAGTATTAAACATGAACTACAACAACTACAAATGACAGATTTATCTAAGGTATGAGTGATTTATTATTAGAGTGCTCAAAATTTAAACTAGAAATTAAACTACCGTATGTATAAATAAAAGGTAACGTTTAACGAATAATTTAAAAGAAAACGGTACATATTTTCATCAATTTTTGAAACGGCTCCTGGTCCTGGAAAACGGCTCCCGGTTCTCTAAAAAAAATAAGGACCGGGAGCCGCTTTTTCAGATATTTGGCTCCCGGTCTGCTTTGACTTAATAAAAGGCTTGATCATCTACCATATAAGTATTGGTGTGTACTGCAAGGTCCTGGAATCATCAAAATGATAAAAAAATTGGCCCAGTCTTGGTTACAAGCACTGTACATAGAAAGAGGTATATGGGACTACGCGACAGGTACGCAATATCTATCAGGTCCAAATAGATATAATAATTTTCCAAATATGTAAATTAGTAGGCGGTTTTTTGGCAAAATTTGTATAATCATGTATTAGTCAAAGCATATTCTTTCACATGATTGGTAATAAGAGCTTTCATTTCATTTTTTGAGAGGGAGGCGTTTCCAAAACTGGTCTTTACCTTTAAATAAATCTGTCAGTTTTGGTGCCCTTAGTTTCCCTTAGAAAGGAATATCATTTCAAACACCTTTGTTAATGAATTAATTTTCCAGTCGAATATAAAATCCATGTTCTGATTTTCAGGGATGAGATTCCTCGGCAATTTTGAGATTTCGAGACCAAATTTTTCTTTCTTTCTAACCCTAATTCCATAAGGAGGCCATGTCCCTTATACCAAGCCAGGGGCGTTGCCTCAGGCGCCCCATTTAATCTTCCTTTTGGGGAAGTTCTCTGTCTCATCCCTGGATATTTCAAAGCAACTTATGTGCATTATCTGACTGCCTTTGTTTTATTTTGCAGACTCAAAAGCGTCGTAACAACGGGCGCAGCAAGAAGGGGCGAGGCCATGTGAGGCCCGTCCGCTGCACCAACTGCGCCCGCTGCGTGCCTAAGGACAAGGCTATCAAGAAGTTTGTGATCAGGAACATCGTGGAGGCTGCAGCCATCCGTGACATCCAGGATGCCAGCGTCTATGAAGGTAAGTTTACACGTAGCCTCTAACTATGAATTTAAAGGAAACAATAACACGTTGTTGGGCAAAGTGTTTATCATTCATACAGTGGCCTTTGATCTTCAGGGATGGGGGAGGGGGGGGGGTGGATTCCTTAAAAAAAGTTGGGATGATTTGTGTTTGAAGGGAAAATACTTCAGTCTTAAACAATTGTGGTCATATATTGTTAGCTGTCCTGAAGAGTACGAAAACTTGTTCTATAATATATGGAAAGGGCGCATGAAGTTGTGTCTGCTTCTGCCTAACTTTATTTGAGTGTTTGAAGTAGCATGTGTAGTCAGATAGCTGTCAACAGTAATTAATTGACCATCTTTTATCCTTTGTTTTATTCCCCTTCAGTGTATGCTCTTCCTAAACTCTACGCCAAGCTCCACTACTGTGTGAGCTGCGCCATCCATTCCAAGGTCGTGCGTAACCGTTCCAGGGAAGCTCGTCGTGACAGGACCCCACCCCCAAGATTCCGCCCAGGAATGGTGAGTCGGGGCAACCAGGTTTGTAGCAACTAAGGTCTCGTTAGTAAATGAGTCCCAAAAAAATTCTTCAATTTGCTGAATAATGGCAGACAACTTTCCCATTTTGTCCCAACACACAAAATGTCAAATTTTAAAAACTGTATGACTCGGACGGTCCTTTCTCTTAAGATGACCTGTAATAATATGCTATTAATAATGTACTTTAAGGAGTGTCTTGAGGGAGAAGACAATAAGAGAAATTCATAAATTAATTTCATTTTTGTACACATCAACGGTAGTTGTCCTTGTTTACGTCACAATCAACTGATGAAACTGCCAATTTAAGATTCGTATAGACTTTATCGATCTCATATTTCAAACCTTCATAATTTCCTTAATATTGATCTGATTTATTTCAATCTCATCATTTTGTTTATCTAATTTTGTCTTGTTTTCATACGAATGAACTTGTACATGGATTGGACAAAGATTTTTTCTAAACCTTTGCAGTAGTACCAAAGCTTACTAAAAGTAACCTCGGTCAGTCATTTGGCTACCTTTTGCCAAAATTTAGCATTCCATACGAGAGTGATACAGAAAAAAGAGCTATAAAGGAGAGAAGTCTAACAAATCGCTTGGTCAGTTCAATGCACGGTGATCAGTTGATAACGAAAGAGTCGCTTAATTCTTTGCAGTATCTACAAAAGAACTTATTTCAGCGTATCAATGATATTTTACTGATCGCACATCATTCATTCTATTATTTTGTATCCCTTTTCTAATGAGGTTGGAAAACAAGATAGTTTCCTTAGTCCCAAGGAGTTTGATATACATAGTTCAACTGTAGTGTAGAAAGTGATGGTCTAAAGATATGGAAAGGTTTATTTTGTATTGCTAGCATCTGAATCAATTGTGAATAATATCCAGTTTGACAAGATCATCATTATTTTCTTCTTTCCTTTCTTCAGGCTCCTGGTCAGAACAGGCAAGGAGGAGGAGGTGGTGGCGGCGGCGGCGGCGGTGGCGGCGCTGGTGGAGGAGGAGGAGGTGGCGGCGGCGGCGGTGGAGCTGGAGCTGGACGCTCTTAGACCCACACCGACTCCTGACCCAACACAAGGCACTCACATCAAACCCAAACAAGCAGTTTCATTTGGATGGAGTAGTTATCACAAAAGACTTTATAGCATCTGTACAGCTTACAGTTCATACTGTCACTTTTTGTGAGGATGAATGGTGAATAAAACATCACACCAGCAACAACAACAAATCACAAAGCTTGTATGTCTTTCATTACCCTGTAATGTTCTTCAGGAAAGTGGTCAAACAAAGACGAGTGTTATACGAGTGTCCCAGTTCTACTGCAGAAATTGGGCTGTGTGCATAAAATGTAAAGGGAGAAGTTCACCAGGCCTTCAAGGTATTGACCAACTGTCATAAGTACAAGTTCACCAACAACCTGTCGAAATACATGTATTAAAGACAATGCACGTTTCTATGGGTTGTCGGCAAACTTGTACTTGTGAAGGTTTCATGAAAAGCAACCCAGTTTCTCTTTGGGTTCAAGTTTCAACCAATTTAAGACATAAAGAGGGTTTAAAAGAAACCTGGCAATGGGGGGGGGGGGGGGGGGGTGAGGTAGAGGTACATGTTATGAATTGTAAAATTTCTACCTGCTTGTGTGAGAGATTTATGATGAGACATGCGACTAGTGGATGTATGTGTGTGAAAGGAAAGGCATCTACTGAGAGCGCGAAAGGCGTTGGCTTTTCACTTTTGCTATTTCTCTTCTGGCTCTCGACAGAAGATACATGTATAACAATGTCTTATGTTCAGAGACGGAAGTTTAAAATGTTAAAATATTTGAGTTACGCATTGCCCTTCTGGCTCAAAAGATATATGAGGTCATGTAATTATAACAAGGGCGCATCAAAGGCATTGGTGTCCTGTACAATAATAGAAAAGTATGTACAATTATAAACATGCTGTACTTTCACTAAAATATATCCATATTCTTGACAGCTCTAGTCCCTTTCTCCTTGATTAAATCATCAAGTATGGTCCTCTTTTACTATCATGTTTTCTTACTTTATTATTGCTCTCTTTCTCCTCTCTGCCATTTCTTTCTTGATCTCAATCTCTGATTCGTCTTCCTCGGGATAGTTTTCATCAACCCTGGCCTACCCCCTTCTCTCTCTCTACTGATATGCCGGCTCTCGCTCCTTTGCTGGCATGTATTCATATTCTCTCTCGTCATCTTGAACCTGAATCTTTTCCAATTTATCTTCTTTTTTACCCTGACTATTCCAAATTTCATTATTTGTCATTCCTTGATCATCAGTCAGACCCTAGGGCCAATCTAAAAATAAATGCAAGGAAAATACATAAAGGGAAGAGAGAGGGGGCACAGTGCCCCCTACTTTTTCATGTACCCCTAAAGTGCCCTTTTTAAAATTTATAATAGGTGCTCCTTCCACATTTTATAAGTGCTTCATTCACCGATGATAATTGGCCCTATACAAATTTGAGAGGTGCCTTTTTTGTAATATATGTCCCTTCCTTTTCTTATAAGTGTCTTTTCTCACCTATCACAAGTACCCTCCTGTATTTTGACACATGCCCCCTTGTCTTTCTGATAAATGCCCTTTTCTTGTGAATGCCTCTATGAAAATCTCATGGATACCCCTTTGTTTGCGACATGTGCCCATTTTCCTTTGTAAGAAGTGATCCTTTTTATTCTCACAAATGCCCCTTTTCATCTCGTCTGATGAGTACCCCTTCACTTCTTATAATTGCCTCTTTTCAAATCTGAGAGGTGTCCCTTTTATTTTTACAGTTTTAAGTGTTTCATATCCCGTGAGTGCCCTTAAAATTTGAAATGTAATAAGTGCCCCTTTTCATCTCTGATAAATGCCCCATTTATTTTGACACATGCCCCGATCCTCTCTAATTAGTGCCATTTTCCTTCTGATAATTACCTCTATTAAAATATCATAGGTGCCCCTTGTCCTTTTTAATAAGTGCCCCTTTTCTGTTCTCATAAGTGCCTTTTTTCGTCTCTGGTAAAATTTACTCTTAATTTAAAGCGACTAAGAGCAAATTTTTCTTTAATTTCAGTTATTTCACCCAATTTTCTTTCTTATTACAGATCTGTTCAGTCTGTCATGATTAGGATTGTTTTTTCCTCTTTATAAGGTGTAATTTTTCACAAATCTTTACATTTTTCAGTCCATCCCACTCTACTGCAGAATATTATGTAAAAAGAGGAACAAACAATGAAATCATCCCTGATACTCTCATCACAATGTAGGGGTATAAGGTCCTACTAATGTTTAAAAATTGCATATGTTCGCTTTGAGGTTTCCCTTTGTAGGTGTTTTTTTTTGCTGGTGCCCCCACTTTGAAAGACGCTTCGCCGGCCCTTGGGGGGGGGGGGAGGGTGTAATCGTAATCGGACACCAGAATGGCCTTCTTATGTGAATTACAGCTCATTTCAAGAGCAAATTGCTATTGTATCAGTGGCAACCTTGCAGGGGCGGTCGAGTGACTTCCAAAGTGGGGGGGGGGGGGCACCAAGAAAAATGGGCACTTTCTGGAAAATAGGGCACCTACAAAGGGAAATCTCAAAGCGAAAATATACCCTTTTTTTAGACATTGGTTTATACCCCTACACTGTGATTACATTCATGATATCAATATTTGTTTCACTTTATACACCATACAAGATATTGCTTAAGCATCATACTTTGCAGCTGTGTGTGATGGTCTGAAAATTCATTTGCGAGCGAGCGAGGAAAAAGTTTAAGATTTGTGAGGTCGCAGTGCGAAAAATTACATCTTATAAAGAAGAAAAAGTGGGTTCTAGGACAATTACCCCCTGGGCAATCACCCCCCGGAAAGTTACCCCCCGGAAAACTACCCCCCGGAAAATTACCCCCCGAGGACAACTACCCCCGAGGACAATTACCCCCTGAGGACAACTACCCCCGAGGACAATTACCCCCCCGGAAAACTACCCCTTGAGGAATTACCCCACGAGGACAATTACCCGCCCCGAGGACAATTCCCCCCGGGGACAATCAGGATTCAAAAGCAAAAGACGATCTGACACGTTGAGAGATGCTGTGAAGGCTACGAGCCCATAAAATCCCGTGCATGAACCCACATTCGTTCAAATACTTGCGCGTGATCTTCCTCATTACTACACATTTTTCTTTAACTATAATGTATGAAACAACACTGTGGTTGCTGTTTTCTACGAAGGATTTCTCTTGTGCAGCGTTATTTCAACTTTTTGTTCGACACGATGCCCTCTTAAGAAATGAAAAGTTTCGCCCTATCTTAAATTCTTCACAAACTATTTATTTTGCATCACTCTGGCACTCGTCAAGTGCTATGTACACACGTATGGGCACATTTGTTTCTTGATTTAGTGAACGAGCAAGAAAAACAAGGACAAGACATTTTCAAAATGGTAAAACATCATGTTGTAATCAACACACTAGCACAGATTTAAGGTATGCGGGCGCCTCACCGCCGAATGTACACGAATATAAAGTGAAATATTCGGTCATGACCCCCAGCCCCCCCGCTCAGAGGTCGGAATGACCGCATGCGTGTTGCCAAAATGTCCGGTAAAGGGGTACTTTTCGTGCGACAAAGTCCGGCCCGAGAATTGTAAAAAAAAGGGGTGTATTTGACTTTTCACCCGGAGATTTCTTTAAAAAGGGGGTGTTTTTCTTTTTTTTTCTCTCATCTCTTTGGACTCCTGAGAAATTATTCCGAATTTAGGGGGGTACATTGAGCATTTTTCCTGATTTAGGGGGGTCTCCAAGGCAGGAAAAGCACGCGAAAAGCCCGCGAAAGGGGGGTTCGGAAATGTTGGCAGTCCTCAGATAGGGGGTGCTTTCAAAAAAAGGGTACGAGCATATGCGTACCCTAAATAACACTGAGTGGGGGGGGGGGGGGGGGCCGGGTCATGACCTTGATACACGAATATGAGGATATTCGGGCCTCTCGTTGCCTTGATTCATCATGTTTATAATTGTGATGAGTGTGGTACCCTGGTAACAATGTAATGTCGAAATAAAAGATATATATTCGCAAAATATTGTCAGCGAGCGAGGAAGAAAGACATTTTATTATTTGTTTACATTTTATTTTCTCATGAAAATAAATACTCTACCCGTTTCTGATATTTGTTTTTCACAAAATCAACGTTTGCCAAAAAAAATTGTCATGTAACTAACATTCTCTTGCGGCACCCCAGTTGAAAAAACGCTGCTCTGGAATTACAAAATCATTGAGATGAATGTACCCAAGTGCGGATACTTATTTTCTTTTAATATGGCACCGTACATACCATACATTTAACTTGAAGGCAATTTTTATTTCAAAATAAATTACAGTACAAGAAAACATATTTTAGTTCACCATGACAACAGAAATATATATATATTACATTACATTTATAAACATGAAGAGAACCTTAATTTTGGAATAGATCATGGATGAGGGCCCATTATATATACAAAGACAAATATACGATCAGCTGATTAGAAAAGTTACAGAGGATGCATAAATAATGATATCTTACGTCCTAATTTCTTTGTTGGGCCATTTTGGGGGAGACTAGCTGTATTAACGCGTACTCATCTGCGCGCAATGTATTGTTAAATTTCTAAGAATTGTAAATTCCGTACATTGATTTGATACATGCGTCTTCTGGGCTTCTGGCAATTGAATTCGATTTGATACATGCGTCTTCTGGCAATTAAATTTGATTCAATACACGTGGCATATTAAGTCAAACTTCACAAAGGTGGAATGGATACAGAGCGAGAGGGGTGGGTGAAATCTCCTCGTAGGAGGATACATGTACGTCAAGCAAAAAGATTTGGCAGATGGGTACGAGGGCTTTGAATGTGAGCTACGAATATAAATATAATTTATACACAACCCCTGTACGAAACAAATCTATTCCGTAATAAATAACTAAGAAAATTAAAGTTCATGACATTTTCTCTAAATAGCAATTTGAAGAGGAGCTCGCATTATACGTCACAGTGTTACAAATTCCCTGGGTGTGATTGTCTTCGGGCCGCGGTAATGGTGTTTCGAGGGGGGGGGGGGGGGGTAATTATCCTCGGGGGGTAGTTGTCCTCGGGTGGTAATTGTCCTCGGGGGTAGTTGTCCTCGGGGGGTAATTGTCCTTGGGGGGGGGGGGTAATTGTCCTCGGGGGTAGTTGTCCTCGGGGGGTTATTCTCCGG